CATGCGCCAAACAAATTACATTACAACGTTAGATAAATATATATCCCACTAGATATATAATTTTGAGACGGCTACTAAATCGCAGTTGAAGAACAAAAAAATATGCAAGAGACTAGAGAAAAAACAATTTAGACAATTATCTTTTTGTGTACGGATTTTCACTAACCATAGTGCCTACAATTTTTTTAAGATTTTTTTTTTTAAACGAAAAATGTCATTTTTTCTAAAATATTTAAAAAATACCACTAGAATTATATCATTTATTTAAAATATTAAATATCATTTATGTTTAGATTAATTATTTTATATTACAGTTTAGTTTTAGGGTTTAAGGTTTATCAGAAGTCAAAACTTTTTAAAATTTATGATTTTAAAGTTAAAGTTTAAAAAGTCCTTAATAAGACATTTTTTGAAAATAGACAATTCATGCTAACATTTTTGAAAATTGACATACCAAAAATAACAATTTTGAAAATTTTTTAATTTTAAGTCCCATATACATATATAAGCTCCAAAACTAAAAAGAATACAAAACTGTTGATACATGGAAAACCAGTCATTTTAATATAGAACTGGCTGGTTTGCGCCAAAACAATTACCAACTTGTTAATAAGTCATAAAACATACAAACTTGTGTTAACTCGACCAAATTAGGTATAAAATAAATCAACTTTATCAGCCGTTTAAAAACGTTAACAATCGTTCACGTAACCATTGAGTCTCAAAACAACGTCGTTATGAGATTAGAGAAAATGGTTATTTAAATACCAACTTCTTAATGAGTAATAAAATACACAAATTTGTGTTGAATGGCCAAATTAGGTACAAAATTAGTCAACTATGAATCAGAGCCTGGGTCCGGAGACATGTAGAGACGAGACCCTCCGAGGTGGTAGCGTGAGTAACATCATCACTCTGTTTGGGGTCGTTAGTTTCTTTTCACTTTACCACTAAGTACTCATGGGACGTTAGACGTAATTCCGGAGTGTTGGCTACTTCAGATGCGCCTAACAATTGCATAATCTATTCTTTCTTTTTTTAATAAAAAAGAAGAAAGGGATAGCTAGATTTTTGATAGAAAACAAAGGAGACTCACAATTTTCGGGATCAATTTTTTCGAAAGGCCATGCTCGGGTATCGCTCTGATGCAGTTCGGTCCTAAAGAGCAGGTTCGCCTCTGATTCTATCCCCCAAAATGATGAGAACTTCTCAGCAGTCTCCGAGGGGACAGGTCGGTTGACTCAGGTCTCCGCGAGAGTTCTCATACTAACCCATTAGGTCTCCAAA